AGGTCCCTCAACCACCAGGGGATCCGGGTTCCAAGGGTCATCATCGCCCGGGATCCTTGCAAGAGCACCAATCAAAATCTGAATGACAGCTCCGGATGGAAAATCAGGTAAGGCAACTCCTGGCGGGTACAGCTGACCGGCGTAGGAGAGAGCGGGGCTCCGCTCTGGTAAATGGCCCCCCGGGAAGAGAGCTCTGAGATGGGCAGAGACGACATCCCAACTAAAGGGCGAATGCCCGAAAGTAACAGCCGCAGCGTCCCCCCAGTGGAGCAGCCAGAACCGGACCGTGGGTCGCGTAGCAGGAACGACCGGCACGAAAAGGACATGCTGGACGGAGCTGTCCGTAGTGGAATGTGTGGGCCGGAACTCACCGGGATCGTCAATATGGTGTAGGCGGCACATCAGCTCTCTCAACCAACGGGTCGGGTAACCCTGAGGACGCCATGGTAAGTCAACGGGTGCATTAATGTTGAGAGTCCAGATGCGAATGGTTGTCGGAGGAGGCGGCGAAGCCTCAGCGACTGGGGCCAGAGCAAGTAGTTGGGGAGGTTGCATAGAGGCCACGTGGCGGCAAAGCAGGAGCAACGCGAGACTGCCGAGAAGCGAGGGGAGCCGAGCCCGGGCTGCGACAATCTTAAGAACTCCATCAACCAGTTTACCCTCTAATCCCGGAAGAACACTAGTAATAAGTGCCCGAGCCCCTTGCGGGCAGGGAGACATATGGCGAACTTCGGCAGAGGGCTCAACGTTATGGACAGCCCCATCCGGCTCCACAGCGCAGAAGAAGAATGAGCAATGGGAAGTGTAGTGCTGGACCACCGGTCGGAGAAGCTCGCAACCGATTGAGTCACGCAGTATCCACCAGCCATATGGTGAAGGCGGGGAAACGATGAGATCAAGCACTTGGGGGCTGGAATCGAAAGCGACGTGCAGTCCGTACTCGCAGTCTGGCAAGAAGGCGCCAAGGTAAGCACTAAGATGCTGATCGAGGTGGCGTGCACCAACCCTCAAGTGGACGGGGCCTTGCCCAGGAAGCCAAAGGTGCATCTGCACTTCTGGGTGAGGTGAGGCGCCAGTAACATACGCGCCAAGTTGAGGTGCTGAAAGGGCGAACCCGTGCGTCTGTCGGGCAAGCTCGTGAGTCCAAGACATGATGCAGGGCCGTGAAAAGTCGCGACAAGTTTGCAGTGTCTCGGATTCCGCAAGACGAGAGAACAAGGGAGCAGGCTCAACCATCACGCGGACTGATACCACAGGGAGAAGGAGGCTGAGAGCACACAGAAGCGAGTACCGCCGCAAGCAAGGTAAGCCGAGAGCAGCAGAGGCCAAAGGGCCCGGGGGCGGTGGCGGGCTAGGCGTCTCGGCCTCGCAATTACGCACTAGTTGGGAGACTCCTTCAGGAGAGTCGTACCCAACACTGACACACTGCATCGCAACACCTGTGATGTCACGGGGAAATGGCCAAACACGGCTGTCGCTGGACAGAAACGTTTGTGGTAGCTCCCAGAGGGACAGGGATAGGGCCTGTGCAACAGCTTCCCAGGAGGGGACAGGGGTGCACATACCGTAGAGTCGGCTTCCTTCTCGAAGGGCCCACACGGTGAATCCGGGCAGACATGCAACCAAGCACTTGACGTGCCATGCATCGCACCAGAGGTCAACGAGTTCGGACGCAGAGTCAGGTGTGACACCGGCACCGCAAACAGACGGGGGTGCCTGGAGTACAGCGGCCGGCGTGCTGGCAGAAATGAAGGGGGCGTTAGTTTGGGAACCTATGCTATGGAAAACCCGAGCCCTAGGGGGAGGGAGGGGCGGAGGCGTGCGAACAAGTCTCGGCTCCCAACTGAGGCTCAAAAGGTGCTCCCGGGCCCGTGCAAAGTCAGCCTGCACATGGACATGCCAGTAGTGCAGACCCACAGCAGAGGGGTCAGACGCATCAGTCACCCGATATGTGACACAGTCCTGGCCAGGGAAGGCGGCGACGAAGGCGGCATGAGGGAGAAGGTCAGCTCCGGGTAGCGCAACGAAGACATGCTGGCCTGGGGTAACGCTGCGCAACAACGCACCCAGCACAGAAGTATCAAGGTCGCAAGCACGCGGGACCTCGAAAGATAACACTCCAGCCACAGGATGAAGCAGCGACACGATTCGGCCTTCCTGAAGCCAGCGCGATGCAGTGCCAACATTGTGTGGAATAACAAAGGCTGAGACATCGAGGGTGCGCGCCTCAGTGTTGACACGCACTCGTACCACGTCGCCTTGGCGAAGCCGATGTGCCGTGCCCCGAAGGATCTGGACGTCAGCCGAAGCAGCCGCGATCTGCGCAACCTCAAGAACATGATCAGCACTGTATTCCTTGGGCAGCTCAACACAGACAACCTCTCTACCTAGGTCCAGGAGAACAGTTAGGGTCTCAGGGCGGGACGGGAGAGCCACAAGGTTAACCGCCTCAAGAGTAGGGCCTGCAGAAGCAGCAACAATCTGAGGGCGACCTATTCGGATGGCCTGACGGTAAAGCTCGGCGGCAGCGTCGCGAGCACTCTCAGTGTTGGCAAACTCAAGGGGGACCGAAGATCCGGGCCACCAAAGGCGGCAAGTAATGAGAAACACCTCACTGGCGGAGGGAAAAACTGACCAAAGCGGTCCATCACCAAAGTCGCCAACCTGAAGCCACCTGGCCTGTAAATGCGTGTGGGCACCTGCTGGTGCCGCAACCTGACGGTCAGGAGCCCTATTAGCTGAAACCACAACATTTGTAGGAGTGGCAGGCGCACTGTGCATCTGAACGGCATTACCAGGCATCCCACAGGAGATGACGAGGCACGCACCCCAAGCAAGGAGGCTCCCGACGCCATGGTGCAGCCCGCGCAACACACAAGCAGCCAAAAGAATACCCCGAGTGCCGCTGAATTGGCTAACGACCGATGAGGAAGCCGAACCAGGCTCGGCGGCCGGCACCAAGGCACTGGGGGAAGTGGTGTTAAGAAACTCAGACGGGGTGACTCCAGTGCAAGCGGGCATGGCAGTGGACGAGGAAGCCCTAGCAGGGGAGGGCAACAGGGTGTGCTGCAGCGCAGAAATGGTGTCAGAGGTACCCGGGGTGTCCCAGCCGCCTACCTGGTCCTCCGAGGAGGAGGAAGAGTCTTGACGAAAGACATGCGGGAAGAACATGACAACAATCGGGACACTGCTGGTGAGGACCTGATCTGGTAATACCGCAAGCTCTCGATGGAGGAGGCCGAACCCGCCACGGGCGCACTGTTCGACCCACTCGTGGGGGAGGCTGCTGCGGTCCCGTCGAGAAGCAACCGTAACAGCCGCAAGAGCAGTAACAGGAGGAGGAACGCAAACAGTAGTCAGCCTCCAGCCAACTGGACGGAAATCAAGAATGCAAGGTACCTCATCCCTAGTACAGTGTACCTCCATGAACTGCACAAGGGGAAGGGAAGGGAGCGGATGCCAGATGCGGAGGACCCCCCCACAAGCACTGGGAGATGCCCTAGTAGACACAATACGTCGAAACGTAGCGGCGTCAGCAAATACCGGGGCTTCGACATAAACCAGTCCATTAGGGGTGATAAGGACAGCTTGGTTATGCGAGTGGCCCGGGAAAGCTTCGTGGGCTGAGGGTGCTGTCGGGAGGCTCACCTGCATGGCCGAGAACAACGAAAGGGGGGGGTCCAAAGAAGCACCGACAGGTCCTTGCAGCGCATCAGCAGCTGGGCCAATATGAAATTGCAGAGTGTCGACGTCCTGCAGAAGGAGGGGTTGGGACATCAGCGTCAACCAGCCCCAGGGGCACTTAGCAAGCAGAAGGTCAACTTCAGTCTGCATCGTCTGAGCCGCGAGAGCAAGGACCGCAATGGCTCTGCAAGTAGAGTCACGCGGGCACATAAGCATGCATATGCGGCCTCCTAGCGGACGGAGGTCAACGGGCAGCCAGACTTGACGCCATGAACAGGCAGCCGGAGTGAGAAGAAGCTGCTCACTTGGCAGGCCGGGAAGGACCCCGCGGATGGCTGAGACAGAGAAGACACCGGCAGGGAATCCCAAGGTGGCAGCAAGCCGGGCATGCAAGAGCGGCCCATGCAACCATTCGTCAACCAGGAAAGGGACAGGGCAAGGTTCGAGAATGGGAGCTCCAGGCGGTGTACCCACAAAGGCAGCAAGGTGCCGACGACTGCGGTCGGTGCGTGGGAGAAGCAAGTTACCCGTGCGGCCGACAGGGTAAACCTCACACATTTCCTCAGCAGTAGGAGTGGGCAGAACCGGCCCCGTGCTGAGGACAGGGAGGCCCTCATGAAAGCCGTGGGCATGTAATTGCACAGCAGTGGAGGATCTCAGCCCCCAGGAGGAGACAACCGCCGCGCCGAGGTGGAGAGTGACGCCATCGGCAACTGAAAGGTAGAGCAGCAGAAGCGTCATCCTCAGGCAGGGCCCACTGTTCCGACACGGACGCACTGGAATACGGTGCCTAGCTCCCCGAACCTTAAGACCCGCAGAAAGGACCCCAGCACCGCACGCCACGCCAGGTTCTCCAAACACAGCAGCCCTGAGGCGAGTGACCCATGCCAAAGGCAGGACGAGCCCGCAAGCACAGCGCCAGTGATGCGAAGCCCAAGACAGGGCAAGGAGGGCGTGGGGGTAAAAGTCCATACCCCAACCTGGGAGGAAGGCAAGAAGTTCACTGATGCCTGCGCACATCATCATGGCAAAGGGCGGGCACACAGTTGCCGCAGCCCACCACGCGGAGGCAGAAAGGGTGCAACCAAGCTGCCAAGAGCGTTGCCAGGACAATCTGGGACCGTAGGCCGAAAAGAACCTTTCAGTGACAGCCGAGACTCTACGTATGGCTATACACACTATGATGCAGCGCCCGAGGAAAAGGCTGACCGTGATCAAAATAAGGTGTGAACAAACACACCCTATTTGAGCACGACCAGCAGGGCAAACTGCTACAAGGTCGGGGCCGTTGCAGAGCGGCTGGTGTTCTCGCCGATTCACTCCAGCTCCGTGGGGTCCGCAGAGTCGGTCACTCGGAGGAAGGGTGATGGCATCCGGAGCAGCACTTGCACTCTTGAGTCCTGTGACGCATCTTTTGCAATAAAGCCACGGATCGGGGCGTCGGCCTCGAGAAGTAGGTCCGGGAAGAGCCACTCCTGTGCTGTTGAGGGCGCATACGAGAACGGGTCCACAATCCTTCCCGCAGTCAAGTGAGCAGCCACAAGGAGTCCCTGCCTGGCAGACGGGAGGGCATTGGAACACAACCAAAGCTGCTGCATGACCTCTCGCAGATCTCGGTGAAGGGACTGTAGATGGGCCAGCTCCGGTTTGGCCACCGCACGCAACATGCCTTCCCAGACAGCTTCGGCAGCAAGCGCCACAACCTCCTGGGCCTGTGCATCCACAGTGAGTGGCAGGGCTGCATCTTGACGTGAGCATTGCCTCAGTTCGCCGATCAGGTCCGCTCCGTTCTCGGTGCAGAAGTGAAGCATAGCAAGCCACGCCACCGTCCAAGGACTCATACTGTTGGACGTAGGGTCCGGGATGAGCTCGGGGCCGTCGTCGACCACAGCCACTTGCGGAGCGCGTTGCACAGAGTCGGGCGTACGGCCCGTCGCTTCTCTTGTCCAAGGTGGTTCCACATGATCTCGCCTGGGGCTCTTCGAGGGCCGGTCGGAATGGCCTGCACTGCGCTTCCGCCATCGCCCAGAGACCACGGTCGGAGCAATAGACCCGAAGCTCAAGGAGTCGGGCTGCCCAAGGACTGGGGCTGCCCGGGGTAGCTCGACATCCACAACTGCACCTCTGTTTGCAAGAGGAGTGGAGGTCGGGGTCATCCCAGGCAGGTCGCGAAGTCCAGTTTGACCAAAACTGACATCGGAAGCACCGTCCTGCGCCAGGACAGGGCCGGAGGGTAGCTGCGGAGGCTCCATGGCGAAGAGGGCGTGCGGTCCAGGCTCTGCAGGTAGGGGTGCAGGCAGCACTGTTCCAAAAGCCTTGAGGCCTGCAGCACGTGTTCCTGCGAAGGAGACCAAATAGGGCCCATGGTCTCCTCCGCCTTGGCAACCTGAGCCGTAGTGAGCTCCGAGGGCTGTGCTGCCAAAATATCCCTCATCTCGGCGGCCGCCACAGTGGTGTCCTCGTCCAACTTGCTGCCCAGCGCCCTGACTTGGGTAATAAGCCCGACCAGGCGTTGGCTCACAAGCATAAACCACTGCTGTAGCGCTGTCGCCAGCTCCTCTTTCGCACGCATGTTGCCGGATAGGCGCTTGGATAGACGATTGGCAGCGTTGGAACGGCGCTGGAATCGCTGTTCCGCTGTGGCTTGAGACTCCAGCACTGCTGCAGGACCCCACAGATCCTGCGTAGACCTGTTCTGAATAGATTGCAGAGCTGAGACAACACCTTGGGGAAGTCCGAATTCCACTCTGGAAACCTGCTGGGCATCTCCCTTGCCCTTGCCTTTGGCTCCAGCTTGTTGTGAGGCAGCAGATTGACCAGGATTTTTGGGAGGCATACTTCCGTGGTGGTGAAGAAGAAGTCGTATGTCCCTGGCCTGGAAAAAGCCGCTGCGCAACCTCTTCCTCGCGAAGGCTCGCTGCCTTCGGGCACGTCTGTGCCACGGAGGGCTTGATGCACGAGACACTCTCTTGCCCGTGCTGGCCCCAAATAAGCAACCAGATGCCAAGGGCAGCTAGCGGAAACAGAGGGCCGTACCGCCTTGGGGCGGTCATGCACCTGGGAAGTTCCAGGTGTGGGCAGTGCCTGACGGCCAATCGAATGGCAGCGTAAGGAATACCCACAGGAGCAAAAGCTCAAAGAACTCAGGAGTTCCAGTGGCCTCCACCCAGGGAAAGTGCCACTATCGCGCGGAGCGCTGGGGTCTGGTATACCGTGAGGTACCGAAACCCCTAGAGGGGAACACAGCACCAAACACGGCTCGAGCCGAGACGCCTGTCGGGAGATAACCCTAAATCCTGAACCCTAAACTTAGATCCCCAATACCTTCCCTTTAAACTTTTTGGGTTCTTATAGTTTAGTAGGAATGGAAAAGTTTAACCTTTTATTTCTGTGGCTTATTGGGGTAGTAAGTAAATCCTGAACCCTAAACCCTAAACCGCCTGGCCTGTGGTTGCACTGCAGGGAGACCCTCCTTGCAAGCCGAACACGGGAGCGGAATAGGGGCCCACAGAATTGCCAATACTATGGTGGGGTTTCTCCTTATAAGTATAGTATAATCTGCCCCAAAGCCCTTGTCTAATTATTAAGGCCCGTATATTCAACAGCAATCGTACTGCCGTATTGCCCCTCTATAATCTCGAAAACCCTATTCTAATTCCAACGGCAGTCTTTCGGGTACCCGAAGCCTTAAACCTCAAACCCCGGACTAAACCCATCACAAAAGCCTAGGACCCAGAGTAGGCCCTTATTCCCTTTTTTTAGGGTTCAGGTTCCCTTATAAGCCCCTTTAAACCAAAAAGGGCACCCTTTTTATTCCTAGGTTACTCTTAGGTCTAGAAGCCCTTTTGCCGCCAGTTCCACATCCGGCTCAAGCTGTGCCAGCATTGTTTTCTAATCTCCCCTGCCCCAAGAAATGGCTCAGATCAGCGACTCAGAAGTTCAAGACGTTAGGTTTTTTCTTAGGGGTTTCGTTGTTGATTTCGGGCTTACGTCCAGGGTCTATAGGCATTTTAGAATAGAGTTTGGGCGCTGTTGGGGTGGAGGCTTCGGATTGGCGGCCTCTGCCGCATCACGTGCTGTTAGTTGCAAGATCTTCTGTTGGACGGCTTAGGGACAAGATGGGTTAAGGGGTATGGGCTTTGGGGGTTTTGGAATTTGTATAAGTTCAAAGGGTATGTGATATAGTCGTGGGACAAGTCCGAAGTATCCTCGAAATCAGGCGTGCGACAAGTCACTATAAGCCTAAGCCTATCTCCGAGACCTCGAAAAGCAATACCCGCAGACCCCGGCTCGAATGATGAGCAGGGTTTAGAGTTGAGGGTTTAGGGTTTAGCGCGCGAGGTCTCTGAACCCCACATTCCAAATTCTTTTAGCCCCACGGCTACGTGCGACATCCCGTGGCACTAAAGCCCTAAACCCTAGGCCCTAAACCCTAAAGCCCTAAAGCCCTAAACCCTAAGCCCTAAACCCTAAAGTCAAGTCCTAAAGCCTTAAACCCTAAACCAGGTGAGCACGATCAGGGGAATCGCCCTCGCCTTCACACGCGATTCACCTTCATCCACGCCAGCCAGGATCTCCCCAGGGGGGCGCGAATAATTTGCAACACTGTCCTCAGAGCCCCTATCTATATCTGTATCTATATCTATATCTGTATCTTATCCATCTAAATATGTATATATATATATATATATATATATATATATGTATATAGCATCATTATCCCCAACGCCCGGTTCTAATGCTGACGGCCCGAAGCTTGCAGCTTCAGGGCTGTAGGGCCGAGGCTTGGGACCGCCGACTGCCGGGGGCGATTTTCTGGTGGAAGCAAAGTTTTTTGGGTTGAAACACCTTATACCCCAAAGAACCTACCTTTTTATGGGTTTATATCAAGAAATCATGTTGGGTTTATGGTTTTATATAAAAGAAGTCATGTTAGGGAACCCTAAAAAGGTAGGTTCCTTAGGGTCCAGGCATGGAATAGCATGCTCTGGAGGATGAGCAAACCAAACTGTTGGTAATTTCCGAGGGCCCTCCAAGCAAAAGCATAAGGTTTGGGTTCGGGAGATTGTTTTTTTGGTAGTTTCCGAAAATAGGGGACCCAAAACAGTAGGCTCCTTACTATAAGGACCCCAAAACAAGGTACCCTTAATTTTCGGAAACTCTAAACCCTAAACCCTTGATAGAAAACCCTTAAAGGATACCTTTAAAGGTACCCCTATTTTTTGGGAAACTCCCCAAATGAGCTTTTACAGGGTACATGTCGGGGAGGGCGGGATTTGCACTTTTGGGTTTAGGGCGTTTGGTTTACAGTAAACCCCAACAAGTTGGAAACCGGATTAAGGCCAAGTGGTGCTGGGATTCCCCATACATTACTCTTAAGGAGTGAGGCTATTGGGTTTCCAACTTTTTGGCTTCCACTGTAGGGGGTTTAGGGCTTGCTGGTCGGTTTTCAAAGGGACGCCCTAGTTTCTGGACTCGACCCTAAACGCCCAGGAGCCTAAATGCTAAATCCTTAGGGGAAAACCCTGGGCCCGCGACAAGCGTTGCAGCTGTTTTCAACGGATCGTCCCAAAATCAATAAGACGGTTACTGCAAGGATTCTATGGGGAGATTTGAGGCATTTAGAGGGTTCAGGTGCTGACGGCCCTTAAACCTAAGCCCCAGTCACCATTTTCCAGCGTGCGTTGCGCACGCGCTGGGGCTTTGGGTCAGCGTCCACGCCAACCGAGAGCTCTTTGTCCTGTCACCCCCACCCCGGCCCCCAACCAAACTCGATAAAGCTGAACAGAAATGCAAAGATTAGGACATGACATGTAATGACCTGATAAGAGCTGGCATCGGAATATGTGGTTTGATAGGACAGGATATGCTGGTGTGTCGGGACAGCACGTTGGACTTCAGGGTTTCATGCACATCAGGTTGTCGTGATTGTGGGATACAAACGCTTCAACTCTACTTGCAGTGTCTTGGGTCCGTAAGCGCTCGAAACACAAAGCGCTAGGTTCCGGATCATCCCTGGAAGGATATTACTTGCTGAGCTCTCCTTCGAAATTGTTCGTTCAACTTTCGACTGTAGTCTAGATTCAGGTAGAGGTTAGAAGGTTAGAACCCAAAACGAAGCTAGAAATGTGCACCCACAAGGCACAAAGAGTTGGAAACATTGAAGGTTGGAAAGGATAATTTGGAGTAGTGCCGAGTTGGAAGATCGCTGTATCTATTGCATTGGGTGATGGAAACGTGTACACGCATTTGGCACGAGCTGTACCATGGTATTGTTCTTGCGAAGGAAGCGAAGAACCTAAACCCTAAAGACCCCGTCCCTACGTCTCTAGTTGCCTCAATAGTGTAACTAGTAGCAACCCATGGCCCAGGACTTAGCTAAATGGGCCCTTGGATATCTTAGGTTTAAAGGTTCTTCAAGAACCCTCAAGTAAGGAATATTACATAAACCATATTAGGGGTCCTACTATGTATACTGATGTAAGGTATTTCTTAAAAAAAGGATATTGGAGTCTCCGGGAACCAGTCGGTCGGAGGAGAACGATGAACAAGATCTCCCGCGAACGAAGAGTGAACCATCACCCGCATCTTGGGCGCAAGACTTCAGACATGTATCCCTAAACCCTGAGCCGTTGTAAAGCCTAAGCCTTGAACACGCAACCCCACCCCCCTTAAGTTTTAAAACCTCCCTGGGCTCTCAGGAACCTACCTTTTTAGGGTTCCCTAACATGATTTCTTTATATAGTCCCAAAAGAAGGTAGGTTATTTGGGGTCAAGGTAAGCTCTAAACCAAACCCTGTACCCTATAAACCCTACCGAGGCAACCCAGACGACCTTTCAACAGGCAAAGCAAGGCAGCACCGAGCAGGCTGGGATTTCGACCTCTTTGCCAGCTTAGCATCCTGGGGTCTATGGATTAGGGTTCAGGGTTTAGGGATTAGGGGTCAGGGCTTTGGATTTTGGTGGTTCAGGGTGTAGGGTTTGGGCTCAGAGAGACAGAGAGAGAGAGGCTTACGTAGGGCATTGCATTGGGTTAAGGTTTATTGGCTTTGGGTGTCAATTTGGAGTTTTGGGTGTCAGGGTCTTGAATGGGGCCTGCATTTTATTGATTCCCTAAGCCCTAAGCCCTACTCCCTAAAACGTTAATGTGAGGCTCCAGAGCATTTGCAAAAAAGGGGGCTTGGGACTTAAACGAGATAAAGGCCACGTGGGACTTCTAAAAAAGACTTGAAGTCTTTTGTTGCGGTGAAATCAACCCTAAACCCTAAGCCACGAACCATACACGGCTCTACCTACTAGGTTTTCCGACTGTAGCCGGGAGGAAAAGGGCCCTCAAAAAAACAAGAACCATCAGCCCTGACCCCTAACCGCCTGGGAAGATTCGAAAGAAGCCTCGAGAAACAAAACGCCAAGCTCTTTCGGGCCCCGGGCCCGCGGGATCTGAACTAGGGGGGTTAAAAGCATGTTTTTTTTGGGGGGGGGGCGACTACTATTACTTTTGCTATTCCGATTGCTATTGCTACTGCTACCGCTGCTACTTCTCCTGCTGCTGCTGCTGCCACCACTACGACTACTACTACTCCTCCTCCTGCTGCTGCTACCACTACTGCTACTACGACGACGACTACTACTACTGCCATTGCGAGTACTAGCTGCTACTAGCTAGTCTATTCGGCTTCAGTGTTTCGAAATTTGGGATTGGGCTTTGCTTTTTTGATCTTAGAGTTGTTAGGGTTCGTCTTTTCATGAGGTTTGAGGGCTCTCCTTGGAGTAGTTGCAGGAAAACATACGGTCTAATATGTTCACGACCATGGCAATGCAAACTACTATAGAGGCCCGCGCGTCTTCAAGCAAGTTGTACAGTTATAGCCGGCTTGCAACCCTATTGCAACCCTGTTACAAGCACATGGAAGTTTAGCTAAGTCGGTGGGATTTTTTGTTGTGACTCTTGTAAGGCATCTAAGTTCTTAGCTAAGTTTAGCTGCACTTGGATTCTCTTGTAAGTGATTGGAATTTGTTAGGAAAAGTTAACATAAACACTTTCAACAATCAT